ATGACAACAGTTGTATTCATGACTAAGGAGTAATTTCTTAAAATAAAAGTGGCTTGAAACAGCATCTTGCATTAAAATCATATCCCACCCAGGAGGTTTGTTGACAAATGTCTTGGCTCAATCAACCAGTGTTTTGTTAATGTTAAATGTACTAGCCATCCAGCTGGTCCATTTCATACAGCAACAACAGAGGCTGTAACACATTGTCTATTTATAATAAACCATTGGCCACAGGTGTTTAAATGGCATGTTAATGGCATGGTCTGTGGTGTGGCAATGGGACACTCATATGAACACTTAATAGGTGCTGTGTGTGTGTGCAGTGTATGAGCAATGCCTCTGGCAATTTCACAAGAGAGAAAAGCATTTGTCACATGGCCATATAAAGAATGGATAGGTGTGGGTTTACATGTGAGACGGACACCAACATTAGCGCTAACGTGATGAAAAGACCAATTTACCCACTAAATTTAGTAAGCATTCTTCAAATAGTAAGTCAAAAAGTTTATTTCTTTTAAAGGTGATTTGGATTATATTGAACATATAAAAAAGTTGCTGTAAATGTAACTTTGTCATGTGAAGCAGAGAGAAAGCCACTGGTATACCACAGTGAGAAATAAGTTGTTTTCTGTTAGTGTTAGCGAAGCCTCGGTGACTGATCTGATTCTAATGCTAATTCTGCGGCAGCTATTTCATGACACCAGATGAAAAGTCAGCTGTCTGTTTAGGTGGTGAGCTGCTTGTTTGTGCCATTCAGACTCACTGGATTCAGTACTAGGTTGAACACCTGCTGTTCAGGTCTAAGATTTTAGACATGGATGGTTCTGTGCAGCAGGTGAAATGCAGAAACATTCCATGTGTTTTTGTATGTTGTCAAAGTAAAATGACACCTGGATCATTGTGTTTAAATGCAAATATATACTACAATGTAATGCAGTATGTCTTATCTTATTACTCACCCATATAACCCTTGGTAAATATGGACTAACCTTATTGTTAATTCAGTTTTCCACTTCAGCTGTGAGACCCACTGGGTTTAGAAACTGAAGTAAATAAGGTGGCTGTTGAAATAAAATGCCAGTGTGTGTCAAATAGACTCAGACTGTGGGTTTGCATGCTTTAGCTTATAAAATACAAATTTTGGCAACTTAGAATTTCTGCAGATTTTTTTTTTCTAAAAGCCATAACTTGTTGGACTGGTTTTCTCCTTCCCAGCTGTAATTGCAACTTATAATATTACACTCTTGCTGGGACTGCTTTGATAATCATTGTTCATGTGTTCAAGAAAGCTTTGACATAGTCTCCTGCCAAACCATAATCTTTATAATACAAGACCCTTTTCAATATATCCATGTTATGTAAGCATGGTACTTATTTTTGGGATGGGGTTTCTCACTAATGAAGCTTGTGGGTGGTTTATGACTGCCAATATTGCAATGGATTTTCTGTCGTGTTTTTTACACCACGCAATTGATTTGGTCTTGCAGTTGAAGGGTACAGTCTTAACACCTGTCCCATCTGCCCCCACGCTGAATATGTCTATACAGTATAAATGTGTATACCAGGCCATGTTTGTTTCCCAGCTTATGTACTTGCCAAGTATGTAGTAATTGTTAAGGTTGTGACATTTGGCAAATTTAAAACTTCCAGCACAACTTCACCCACTGCCAAGGCTGCACAGATGAAAAAAAAACCAACCCTATGAGGTCAGAACGTTAGCAGTGCTTGCAGTAACAGCTCAATAAAGTTGTTCAACATACTGCAAGTGTTGGTAGAGTGTTGTCCTCCAAAGGTTGTGACCTTGCAACACTTGTTTAGGAAGTTATTATTGTGCCCAGTGTTGTTTGTCACTTCTGTTCTGGAGGCTCACAGCACACGCTCAATCCACTTCTTCCCTGCTGAGGAAGGTGTTAAAGGACATGAGATTAACTCTGGAAATATAACACTCCACCTGTAAGTCAGCAACTCCTCTGAATCTTTTGTTGACATTATCCCTTTAGCATCTATTTAACAAAGCCAAATATCAGCAGCTTAACATTACATTGAAACTGAACAATTAAAAATACAATGAGAGGCAAGTGATAGATTAAAAAGATTGACATTAGAGTTTTAGTGAATTTACAAATCACTTTATTCTTTAATGTTTTAAATTTGCAAGCTCAGTTAGTTTGTATTTGTGGGCATGTTATGGTTGGTGATTCATTGGGAACTTTTTAGGCAACATCCCCAAAGACAGGCCCCAAGTGGAGACACCAAATCAAAAATAAATCCAAATGCTTCCTGTTAATACAGTTATAATTAAAATACCACGAAAATATTTTGGGCACTGGTACCCAAAATCAGTTGCTCTGATCATTTTCATTTTATTTGTAGCTTGCTTTCTTTTTTCTCTGAGCCATGACATGCCAAATGATTTCACGCCTCTTCTCCCCAGGTTTAACCTGAGGGTATGGTTAACCAGCAGCTGGAAAAAGTGACAAATGGCAAATCTGAGTCATTCTTGCCATGGAGCACTGACAGACCATCTTTTATGTACCAGAACAAGAGTATTCTTTGTTCCGTTACAGTTCAGGCCTTGACAGAGATTAGAAGACCACAGTTCTCTATAAAGTCTTGAAATACTGTAGATTATCCAAATTTAAAACCTTGAAAAGTAATTAAATACAATTAATAAGGATTTATGATTTACGATGCAGTGACAGATTTTAACTTAACACTTTAACTTAACTTGCTCTTTATCACCAGATGTAGTGAGGGTAGGGTGGGTGGCCCTGAGTGAGGAGATCACCCCTAATGATGTCATCAGGCAGGGTTGCTGCAGTGCTGGGCAGACAGATGGCGTGAGAGATTACCTTGAAACATCTTCCCAGGCAGCAGGGTGGAGGCGGAGGTGGTAGCATTGGTGGAGTCCCTCCCCCACTGCCGGGAAAAGTCAGAGATTATCCCGGAGTGCCAGCTCAGCCCTTTCAGCAGTTTCACTGGTACAGCTCCACCTCACTACTGTAGAGCACATGATGGAGGACATGAATCAGAAAAGACAGGGAGAGTCAGAGAAAAAGCCAGAGGCAGAAAGTTCAGTCACAGAGAAGCCGCAAAAGGACGTGCTTTGTATAGACTAAAATGTAGTTTTTTGATAATTTTCTAAAGAAGAGAAAGCATTTCATTCTTTCTGGGAGTTTTGGAGAACATTTTGTTGTTGTTGTTTTTTTAATTGGGGGGTTGACCTACAGGTAAGGAGCATGTTTTCACTGTTTGTGAAACCATGACATAGAGATTTAATTATGAGCTGAATACATTTTAAAAAAGAACTAATGTAATATTCAATTATAAGAAATATTCAGGATCTAGGAAATCTTGTGCTTATTCTTATATTAGTGCTGTCTTATGTGCATAACATTCTCTGAACTCTAATTTCAAACTAATTAAGGTAACTCAACAAACCTGGCATTGTAGTCTCATAATGTTAATGCGTGTGTCATCATTAACCACAACCATAGGAACAAACTGTGTTTACAGATTTCTCACCTCCCATCTTGTTCTTGTTGCTACTGTGCATGTCAGTTGTTGTTGACATAGAGTTTGAAATAGCTGCGGTCTGAGTGATCCACCATCTGTCCCCAGGGGTCACTCAATTTGGAACATCCCACATATGAGCCAGCCGTGGTCATGTATATGTTGTGTTTCACTTTGCAAATGTAAGCTGTATTGGGGGAGCCGGTTGTGGTGGTTTATTTTATTCATGTAAGTGTTACCACAAGATGATCTGGTGCATGTGTGGTTGTTATGTTTTATGGAAGCAAGTAGTGTTTTATTTTGAAATGTTAACCTGGTCTATAATGCGAGTACACATTATATCTCCACTGCTGTGCCTGCTCATAATTATATGCTCATGTGTCACAAGTGAGATGTATTATGTTTTGTTATGATAGAGATTTGCATTGCATTTTGGTAGACCATGTTTGCATTTCTTTAATGGCTAAAATAAAAATAAAAATAAGTTCACATTAATATTTAAAGGAAAACAAATCAATCACCTATACTGTAGGACTCATTAGGCAAGAAGTTGATGTTGCCATTGAAATAACAGTCAATTTATGATGTGAATGCAAATCAAATGTGATGAAATGAGCTGAGCTTTGTGTGTCCTAGAAATGTCAAGTGTTTCTACTCACTTATGGTACTATAAATTGATAGCGATTTCCCCCCATGCTTAATGGTTGTAATTGCTGTCAGCTGGAAGGAATAATACAAGTTTTGTGCTTGCTTGATCAGAGACATAGCTGCATGGCAGTCAGTATTTTTTTTAGAAGCATACAGATTGATTTGAAAGTTTCCATAGCCAAAGTTACTCTCTACTCCTTCAGGTGAAGCATAGCCAGGCCAAAGGAATTTGGTTTAGATCTTCAGTTTAGAAGAAACATTGCCCTGGCCAATTTGTACCAGAAATTAGACAACAAAAATATACCTATGCATACCCATTTTCATATACATATATGTTAAACATTCCCATAAAATGTAGTGCACTGTAATTTATAGCATTGTGTAACATGTATACAAGCTATCTGTCTCTGACAGCATGATTCAGCGGTCAGAAATCAACTTGAAGAAGACAGTTTGTCATCTCCCAGTCCAGGTCTGGGCTTTCAAACTGGCACTGCTGCTCTTCTCTTTGGTTCACACAGACCAGCTGCTTCAGTGTATTGGATAGGACCCTCCCTGAATCATGTCAGACCATGTGGGCCCGCACTGTGATAGGGACTTTAGTCCTGCAAATTGGCTATTAATAGAGCTAGAATGGCTGTGTTGCTGGTGACTGGGCTGCCTGACTGTCAAAAAAGATGGATTCAGAGGGCGGTCACTGTGCTTGTGCCCCATTTGCATAGTTTTTGTTGAGTTTTTAACTCCCATTTTTGGTTATTTCGATTATGTATGTTTGGAACTGCATAAAACATGTAGGCAATTTAATGATTTATGTACCTGTTCCTTTATGCCTGTTTCAGATGTTGTTCACACCCAAGGTCCACTTGATGGAAGTCTGTATGCCCGGGTCCGAAAGAAAAACTCCCTGGACGGAGTTGTCACCATCAATGGCCTGCCAGACCATGAAAATGAAAACCCTCTGACCAGTTCTGAGAACCCATTGCAACACACTAACCATCCCCTCCAAACCACTGACCAGACCCTTCCAGTGACAGGCCATGCCTCCCTCCCTGCTGTTGACCACACTCTATCCGTGAGCAGTGACTCAGGCAACTCGACTGCATCCATCAAGACCGATCGTACTGATGAACACAGCCAGTCGGTTCAGAGCACCGTGAACCACAATAACCCGACAGCTATCCAAACAGCACTCAGCCCACAGGAGAAGAGAGAGCTTGACCAGCTCCTGAGTGGCCTTGAGGCACCAATTCATCAACAGCAAGCCTACCTGTCCACATCCACCAGTCCGGGAGGAGGAGTCCGACACCTGGTCCCAGCACAGGTGCATGTTAATGGGGGCCACACCAGGTTAGTGGGTGTCCCTTCAACAGAAGAGCGTGAGACAGATATTCTTGACGACGAGCTGCCCAATAGCCAAGAAGGCAACAGTGTGGACAGTTTGGGCACAGTTTCTTCCCTTGAGGGCCAAGCGACACCAGCTGACCTCTACTACCACTCACAGACGCCTGTCAGCAGACAGGGCAACAGGACATACCTTGAAAGAGGTGTTCTTGGGGAAAATTTGAGCGAGATGCCTGTGCATGGAGTACGAACTCCCACAGCAATGCAAGAGAGGTCTGTGGACTCCTCACAGAGGGGATACTACCATAATGGAGGTGGGATATACCACTCACAATCCTTTGGGAACCCCCCGGCCAGCAGCCCTGAAACTAATCCTAAACTGATGCCCAGGGCCCCTGAAAGGAGCACCAGTAGCCGAGAGGCCGTTCAAAGGGGTCTCAATGCTTGGCACCAGTATAGCCTTCCAGACGATCCGTTTGGCCCTCCGCTTCAGTCAACCCATAGTTTGCCCCACTTCCCCACCTCAGCCTCTCAACGAGACATTGAGCAGTCCATCGAGGCGCTCAACATGCTCATGCTCGACCTGGACCCGATCAGTTCGCACATGTCCAAGTCCCACAGTGCACCCACTGGGGAGAATAGTCTCAATTCATCACAGGTGCCCTTCTCCCAGACCCTGGCTAGGCCCTCGTACCAAGCAGACTCCACCATCCACGGATACAATAACTCTGGATCAGTCAACAATGCCTTTCATCAGCCCCAACGATCCACTGGCAGAGTGTCAACATTGTCTAGCCAGAGCCCAGTTATGGAGTCTCCAGTGTATTCTCCCCAGAGACCAAATGCTGGCTACCAACACCAAAACACTACCCCGACACACACCCCTGAGCCCCACCTTCATTCACGCCAAGCACCCCTCCACTACCCCAGTGATCCCTCTTCTAATTTTAACCAGCAGGCACCACTGAAGCCTGTGAATTCATACCCGGGCAGTGGGATTTCCCACTCCCCAGACCCACAGGGTTCCTCTCCTTACCAAGGCTGCAGTGCTTCTTCTTCTCCTCTCCCTGCTCTCACTCCCCAACCCAAGGATACATCGTCTTCCTCTTTGGCCAGAGAACAAGATGCAGAGGAGGAGACACTAAACTTGGAAGGCCTGGTGGCTCACCGCATCGCCGGTAAGACTGCATGATATTGTCTGGAGTTAGTGAATGAGTGAATGAATGAGGGAGGGGAGAAGTGGATGACTGAAACTGAGTGAGTCCATTTCTAGTGTGTAATGTGTTTGATTTCAACAACTCTAATCAAATTCTATTCTCTTAGTAACAGTTTTGCAGCCTGTTTTCTCTGACATGGTGCACAGATGTGAATTAGAAGTTCAAGGTTGATTGAAAGTTCATAACAGACATGAGTCAGCATGGGTAATCGTGTTGTCATCAATTATATGAGCTGTAGCTGAGGGTTACTGGGGTTAGTGAATGGACAAAGGACCTAAACTTTTTTGTTGTTTTTTTTTTCTATTATTGTTGAATGTTTTAACCCATTTAGAGTAAACATCACACTTAACTGCAGATTATCTTTAGAGCCATGCTATGTTATTTCAGATCTTGAATTGTAGTTTTGCCACATGTCAGACCTGGATTCTGGATTTTATTGATTTTATTTCTAACATTATTGAAATTATTGTGCAGACATCTGTAACAGTAAACATCCATAAAATCTATTTTTACATCTACTTTTATTTCCTAATATTTAACTGATGTTGTTATCAGAATGTGACTTTCCAAACCAAATTTTAGAGCTTTATTCAATAATGTTCCATCTTCATTTTGAAGTCTAAAGCACCAGTCAGCTTTTGATCAGTGCAGCATTCAGTATTTTCTATCACATATTCATCAGGGGGTGCTGTACTAGAGGGATGACTTTTGCTCATTAAATTAGCTCTGCAGCTAAATTTAAGCAGACTTAGTGAGAATGGAAATGGAATGGGAGTTAGAATAACAAAGCATTCAGAGGCTTTAGCTTCCATGCATTGTTTGCATTCATATTTACCTCCATGTGAATCTGTGTGGAAGCTCCCAGGCGCCACCCGGTGGACAAAGTTGCAAATTTTTCATTTTAAGACGGAGGTCAACTTGAGGGTTTCTGCTGTGTACTTTCTGTACACTGCTGTTAACAAATATCTTTTCATTCTCTTTTCACTTTAATTAGATCCATTTCTGTTCTGATTTTTCTTCTGCTTTTCTGTTCAATTCATCATTCTGCTGTATGGACAACCCTTGCCATCACTGCTCTTCCCTCTGCGCCTCTCTCACCTTTGTCTTCCACCTCCTGCCCCCCCATCCACCACCCTGACCTCCCTTCCCGGGAACAGAGTACAACGCTCGTATTCGGGGCATCAGTGAAAGCATAACACCGCAACAATCTGACCGCCATCGTTCCTATTCTTTCTCTGGTTTGTCTGTTTTCTCTCGCTTTTAATCTCAGACATTTTCTTTCCTGAATTTGTTGATATTTTTTTGCTTTCTAGCCATTTTTCAAACTCTTTTAAGATCTCATGTAATACACTTTTTTTCACGTCTTTTCACTGATTTCTGTTTCTGCTATATGTGTCTTTTTCTATAGTTTTTTTACTACTATATTATTACACCTAAACTTTAAACTTCTTTCTGCCTGACTTGCTTGATGAAAGCAGTGAGCAGGTTTTAAAATGTACTTAGTGAGCTGACAGTTCCACACAGTGAATATTTTTGGGGTGTTTCAGGAGTTCGCTCCAGAGGAATGACCCCAGAAGTGACGCAGGAGATAGGTCGGCGTCGGACCACCAGTGAGGGACAGTACCAGAGCAATCGTGATAATACACCAGCAGTGCATTCACAGGATTTTGCCAACAATATGGCTCTGAACCCAGGAGGAAGACCCAGAGAGGTGCAAAATTCACTCTTATTGATCACTAGACATCCACATTTGTTCTCTTCCTTATTGTTATGTAGGCAGAAGTGTCTGTTCCATGACAGGTTTTGTAAATGAGTAATATTTAAGCCAATGAAGATGGCCGAATCTTCCCAGTTTACAACACCACTTTGTGATTTAGAAATATTTTCACATCTCTAAACTTTTTGTGTTGCCTTTATCTCTTCCAGGGTCTCATGCACGGCTACCGAGAGGTGTTTCAGGATGACGAGGCAGACGGGTTTGTCAACAGTCCCACCTTTGGAGGCAGTGGTGAGAATTCTCCCCAGACCCCCAGCTTCCCTGTGTCGCCACAGACTCCTTACTTCAACATGTGTAGGTCCACCCTGCCTGCAGACAGGGAGCGCTCTCGTTTTTTCTAAACACTAATTTGTAATTAATGAAAAGACAGGCAAGAAAAGCCAAAACAGAACTGCATAATGACAGCAACAAATGAATGTTTATTTACTTTTATTTTATTTTAATATGCAATTTATTTTTATTTTGATATTGGTTCATTGCCAGTAGAGTTATACAATGTTTCAACCTACAGTAGGAACAAAATGATAAACTACTAGAAAAATAAAAGAGAAAGAATGAAATGCTTAGACTGATAAAATAATAAAACATGGCAAAATCAATGTGTGATAGCAAACTACTTCACAAACAATAAAAAGCATTTTAAGTTTAACTATTACATATCTAATAATTGATAACTGTGAACCAAAAGCACAAGGTAAACTCTCAGTAGCAAATAAAAGGGAGGCTCTCCTCACAGTCGTAAGCCTTCCACATGTTTGGTTTTACACCTGCACTGTATCCTCCAGTATTCCCAGTAATGCCCTTTACAAAATTCCAAGTATTAGTCATGGTAATTACATCCAGGTCAGAGTTTGCATTGATATCATTTTGTACCTCTAAGACGGCACACCTCAGCTTGATGTTAGGGCACACAGGCTTTCCCTCTTGTCCCCAGGCCTCATAACTCAGCAGCTGCACATCCACCCACTGCCATAGTCCAGAGAAAAAGTGCAAACCAATCCAGACATTTTCTGTGATATTTGTGTGGAGCTCTTCCTGGATCAGCTGCATGTCCTCCTCCGACACCACACTGGCCAGGTCCTTGTAGTTTTCCCTGCAGGAGTCCAAAGCTTCCTCCCACGTCTTCATCTTGTTCGCCATGACCACACTGTAGCAGAAGAAGGGGAATATACATAATGTGGTGATGCATTATCCCACATTTAATATAATACTTTATTTATAATGCACATTTAAAAACAACAGTTGCTGACCAAAGTGCTGTACAAGAATAATAAAAAAAAACAGCATCATAAAAGCAAACAAGATAAAAGACAACAACAAAAAATAAATACCGGTACATAAAATAACTGACATTACCACATTAAGGCTATAAACTCTGGCAGTCAAGAAAAGCCAGACAGTAACAACATGTCTTTGAATGGGATTTAAAGACAGGGAGAGCAGGAGCCTGTCTGGCAGACAAAGGCAAGTCCACAGTTTGGGAGCTTCTGTAGACAAAGCACAATCTCCTTTGCTCTTCAGCCTAGATTTAGGGACAACCAGAAGAAGCTGGCGGGCTGAGCTGAGTGACCTGGTTTGCCTATATGGCTGTAGGAGCTGAGAGAAGCAAGGACGAGTTAATCCATGTAGAGCTCTGTAGACCATGAGTAGAATTTTGAAATTAATTTTAAATATAACTTGCTCTGGTTAACAGACGGTCAGTGGCATTCTGAACAAGCTACAAGCATGGTAGCAAAGTCATAAATCAGACCACTGTTTTCATCTGGTTGGTTGTCTGGCTGACCTAGTGCCCAGGAAAACGTGGACACCTCACCACCTCCTGAACACATCCATTTCCCACTATTTGTGGGACTTTTTTCAGGTCCCTCTCCAAATGTGGTCACTGGTATTGCCAGCAAGCTGTAGGAGTTTGGAAATATTGTGTTAGTTTTTGACAAGAGCCAGGTCTGTTAAAGCTTCTGACAGTGAATCTGATCCCCTTGCCAATTTTTCCATCCTTGAAGTTAACATACTTTCCAAAGGCTGTAGACAAGTTCATCAGGAGCAGGATGCAGGTGAAGGCAAAGGTTTGATCCATCGCTGTCTTGTGTCAATAAAGTAGAATGCCCTGCAGGACACTGAGGATGCAGGAGATCTTTGAGGAGGTAAATGCTGCAATGAGTTGTTTTGGGTTTATTTTTGTCCCAGAGAGCATTTGCATAAGGTGTGTCTCCTTGTTCACCGAACCATTCTGTGTTCTGGGGTGAAATGAAAACACACAGCACATGACTGCAACTGTACTTTATGTGAGAACGGAAGGTCTTAATATTTTTAGCTTGTCAGCACCCCAAGACTGACACCTATATTGTTGCACAATTTTAGGAGGCATAAAAGCTTAATATGATGTCCTTACGCAAAACAAATTTTGAATTTTGCTTCAGGCAAATGTATTTTTCTTTTTATTTGTATACTTAAACTTTAGCATGAGATGCTCATTTTCTTATTCTGGCAGTAAATAAATGAAGATGCAAAGTTTGACTTTGACTCTGTAGCCTCATGTCATCAGACGTGTTGGTTTTGGATGCAGTGCCTTTTTTCCAATGTATTATTTTTCCTTCGCATCTTTTCTTTATGTGTGACATTTTTGCATAAAGCCTCACAGAGGCACCTAATTATTACTAATTTGCCCAAAGCCCTTGAGGCATTTCAAGACACTGAGGTTCCTTCATCTAGTTTTCTAGACATTCAATCAGATGTGGCACTAGTAAGTAGGTCTGTGGGGCAGATAAACCAGCCCTGCTCCCCCTCTCCTGCATTCAGCCCTGAACACTCAGCTGTTGTAGTAAGAATCTGCTCTGCAGCACTGTCAGATTTATCAGCCTTCTCCACGCCATTCACTCTGAGTGAACACTGGCCTGGATCCCTGTCAGGCAACTGATTTGGATTCTTTTGCAGGTGAAGGAACTGTACCTGAGAATTTGCTCCCAAAATGCCAGATGTACATTAACTGGAGATAAACCATCCAGCTTTTCTAGTTTATAAAAAGAAACGTATTATGCTAATTAGCCGATTTAATAGTAGTTTAACATTTTCCATCACTGCACATTGTTACTTTGGTTTCTGTGACTGTGACTGGTATCAGTGAAAGGTGAGGAAAAAAACTCAGCCAAAAAAAAAAGCCTGTCATTTTCTGGTATTTCAGTTTGGAAATACTGTATCTCTTCAGGTTTTTGCATGACAACATTAAAACAACATTGTCTTCCACTTTTTTCCGGTGTTGTTGACTCCAGCAGCCACAAGCTAACCTGGACCCAGTCATTCTTTGTTTAGCAGCATGCTATAAATCTTCCACCATTTTCATAGCTACATACTTGTGTGGATGGATGCTCATTGCTTCAGTTTCAGCTACATAATATGTTTTAATTTTGTAAATAAATTCCTCTAACCCTTTTTGAAAATTACTACAGAAAAGAATCTAAAAGAAACAGTTTCCACAGCAAATAATCACATTTATTATCAAAGTGTGTAACAGTGTTTACTGTTGAATATTGTCTTCT